AAAAAAAAAAAAAAGAAAGTATTACCACCGATCTGATCCGGCACTGACTATAAACTTGCAGATTGGCTCTCTGGCTCTCCTTCCATCATCAGTTGGCCAGAATCTGTTGAAGCTAGTGCAAGACAAAAAGAGACAATGAATCACAGAGACCTAGAAGTTTCCAAAACCACAAAAGAAAAATGTAAAATGCTACTAAAAACATAAAGCCAGGCACAATGGCTCAAGCCTGTAATCCCAGGATTTTGGGAGGCCGAGGCAAGCATAATGGTGTGCGCCTATAATCCCAGCTACTCGGGAGAATCGCTTGAACCCGGATGGTGGAGATTGCAGTGAGCCAAGATTGCGCTACTGCACTCCAGCCTGGACGACAGAGCAAGACTCTGTCTCAAAAATAAATAAATAATATGAACTACTGTGGAAGAACCAGAGAGCCCTAAGATCTCTTGTAAATGACTATAGCAGGAGAATTTCCCTGGTCTGCATGCAACCACAAAACTGATTTTGACTTGAAGTCTTCATCACAAATTTGGTCCCCTCTATCCCTGACTATGAAGCTTATCATAAAATAATTAGGTTTCACTGAGACCAGAACAAAACAATCTTGGGAATTTAACAAGATTAATTAATTAGGTTGCTTTGTTGCTGTGGTTATGAAATTTTAAAGAAGACTTCTCTTCTGGTTCCAAGGCCAAGGGATTCTCAATTGAAATCTCAATTAGAACCTGAAGGATGCTTCTTGGGACTGGGAAGAGATTTTCTGTAGGCCAAATTTAGCCTCCCACTAGAGATAGTTGATAATTCTACCACATTTCATAGTGAAGCATCAGGAAGACAGGACTGAAAAGGCAAGAAGAAATGATGCAAAGTGCATAGTCCAACATAAGCTGGACCTGGGTTTCCCACTTTGTCTAAGTAAGTGAGAATTCATTCTGAGATTTAAAAAAAAAAAAACACAATAATGTTCACAGCAGCATTGTTTATCATTGAAAACAAACAATCTGGGCCGGGCGCGGTGGCTCAAGCCTGTAATCCCAGCACTTTGGGAGGCCGAGGCGGGTGGATCATGAGGTCAAGAGATCGAGACCATCCTGGTCAACGTGGTGAAACCCCGTCTCTACTAAAAATACAAAACATTAGCTGGGCATGGTGGCGCGTGCCTGTAATCCCAGCT